AACAATGATTGAGTCGCCCCAGTATCACGTAGAATAGGTATGAGTATGGGATTGTCAGTGTCATTTGTCAAAGACACAAAACCAACAGACACAAAAGGTCTAAGTCCCTCCCTGATTACATCAGTCTTTATATTAGTGGCCAAATCAACAACATCGAGTGATCTGGTGAAACTACGTCCATATGTGGACACAAATGCACTGAGTGATGCCTCCTTTTCTTTTTTCTTCTTCAAACACTAACAATCAGACATAACATGGCCAGGTTTTTTACAAAAATGGCGGACAGGCTTTTATTGTTTTAAAGAAGCTTTATCCTGACTGTCAGAAATTTTCGAATTAGAGGAGCTGGATTTTTTAGAAGAATCCTCACCTTTAGTGGATTGAACAGATACAGGTTTTGTTGAGATGGTAGGAATTTCTTTTTATAGAAAGTGGTTTTATGTGTTAAAGTTTAATCATCGGAAAGAGCAGCTGCTTCCTGTAGTGTTTCAACTTTCTTTTCATCCAAGTAAGTTTGAGGTCGTTATGTGCACAATGTTTAAATTCCTCAGTTAGACATAATTGTCTTAGTTTGTCGAAACTGTTGCCAATATGCATAGAAATGCACCATCGATCAAATAAACCTCTTTTCGTGGGCAAATTCCATATAAGTTTGATTTTCTTGTTTGCAATAAACTCGAAACTTTTGGCGATAAATCTCTGGTTATAACTCGTATGCTATGAGAATAGCTACTTTAACCTTATAATAATTTGTACAGTCTTCTAGAGAGAGAGAGTGGCATAAGCTTCTTGTGCTTTACCAGTTAAAACACTTTGTAATAATAATGACCATTTTTCGGTGGGTCATTCCCTGGTTTGGGCAACCTTCTCAAAATTTTGGAAATATTTATCAACTTCATTTCATGAAATGGTGGTACTTTAACATATCGATTAAGTTCAAAGTTGTCATTTTGCCTTGGTCAATCGGAGTTGAGTCTATTTTCCATTTCTTTCAGTCTAATTTCATTTTCGGCTTTAATGCGAGCTTTTTCGGTCTCGAGGCGTTTATTTCTCTTTCAGCTTCGATACGAGCTTGTTCGGCTTCGAGACTTTTATTTTCTCTTTCAGCTTCAATACAAGCTTGTTCTTTTTCGGCTTCGATACGAGTTTGCTCTTTCTCGGCTTCAATACGAGCTTGTTCTTTCTATTCCTCGGCTTCGATACAAGCTTGTTCTTTCTCGGCTTCGATACGATCTTGTTCAATCTCGAGATGTTTCAGTTTTAGTTTGATCTCTAACCTATCTTTATCACTCAACCCCGATTGGCTAGTGGATACACTAGAGTATTCCTCTAAAGCCATTGACGTTGATAATAGCATAGAAAAATATTTGCAAGGGTCGGACCCAGAGGTGACCCCATCGCCACTCCGTCTATCTGGTTATAAAGATGACCATTAAAAACAAAGTGATTCTTCTTGAGGGCCAATTTAAGAAGTTGTTCGAATTTTTGTTCGTTAAAGTTATGGTGCAGAGTATTTTTGGTAGGGAATAACTGTTTAATAATTATTTTAATTGTTTCCTCCAGTGGGATGTTAGTGAATAAGGACTGAATATCAAAGCTGGACATAACGAATTGGCCTGCATTAAGAAATTTAGACATCTCTTGGGTAAAATTAATTTCTTTGTAATTGAGCACAAAGCTATACAATGGGCTATCTGTGCTCTGCCCACCACGGGTATCGAAACCCGGATTCTAGCGTTGTAAGTCCGCAGACATACCGCTGTGCCACTGGGGGGGGGGGCTCTTGGGTAAAAGAAAAATAATATTTAACAGTTAATTCGTTTTAGTTAGTGAGCTTAAAGCAGGTACAAGATATTTAACAAGTTTATAGACGTGGGGACCAATAGTAGATAGAATAGGTCTGAGGGGTAAACCATTTTTGTGTATTTTCGGTAAGCCATACATATAACCAGGGTGGGAACCTACAGGATAAAGTTCTGCAAAAGTGGTATCAGAGAAGAATTTACAATTGTTAAAATATCCTAAAGCCCATTGAAGCTGAGGATGGAATTTAAAGAAATTCCGAAACGTCCGTATTAAAGATGTTTTTTTTTTTTTTTGGTATTACCGTG